GCTGCTTCCTACACAGAGAGATCAGACTCACGGTGCTACTGCTTGACAGAATTCTAAATGACAACTTTTATCTAATTACATTATTAGAAACAACTTCAAGATTTCATTTATCAGCTTAAAACAACAAGCTGCCATCTCTGCAATGAATTTAGAAGTGCAAAGGAGCACTTTAAAACTGTAGTGTGGCTGTGTTTATCCTAAATCATCACAATGGCTGAAGTTGCCTTAGAATTTCCTATTTCGATCTAAACAGGCATGAAAAGCGGGGACAAGGAACACAGAACAGATGATACATCATCAGCAAACTGTGCTGCTCTTCTTCTAACCATCCTCAACTCTTGTGCGTAATCTATATCATCTACTAGGTTAGAGTTGCAAATATTAATACATTTTACACTAATAAGTCTGTATTCATGTAATAATATGGCTATCAAACACCACATTAAAGCTTCTCCTTTAAGCAATTCCTTGAAGAAAAATTATATAAGTAACAATTTGGGAACAGCCCAATTTTATAAGTTACTTAATATTTCAAGGCTGCATCAAACAATGCATGTTCACAGCTTTTAGAAAACAGCTCATGCCTGTACAGTAAGTCAAGGATATCTCAATAATAAGCATTCCTTGAGTGTTTAAAAGATGGAGTCCTATAAATAGATGGAGAGCAGGCTGGCAGGGAACTATATCTCATTCGTAACGTGTAATACTTGAAAAACTGAGAAACGTGAACCTAAGAACTTACTATCACTGAAATCACCTAGTAAGAGTAATGCTATTTATTTAGGACGATATTAAGAAACAAGGTGAGTTTACGGTTTTTATCATTGTTTTCCTCTGTTGAGTCTTTTATGCCAAGTCCATGCTAAGACAGCATTGCAAGCATTTGAATGGAAAGGACTAAAGATCGAACGAAATGACCAATGGTCACACTTATGGAAAGCTGCCAGAACCAGAATGTTGTGTTTTGGAAATACAGTAAGCAAAGTAGTAAGAAATACATATTTTCTCCACTTCTGGAGAAAGTTCTGGAAGTTCTAGAAAGTTCTTCCCAGTTCTGGAAAGAGAAGGAAAGAACTGTATGTGACCATTAGAAAATGACTTTTTCAAAAAAATCCTGTACCACTTTTTGTAACAGAATTGAAATGAACATGTATTTTTTTGCAAGTGTGAAAGAGAACCCAAAAAAAGAGAACATAAAAGAACAAATTCATATTGAAGTCTTAGATAATAGCTTTTGCTTGTTTGAATGCTTAAACTTGAAGAAAACTGAAAATATTTATACAATACATACTGCAAGGCATAGAAGCAGTATTAAGCAATAAGGAATGAGCATAAACATATCGAGAGATATTGGATTCATTCTTGCAGCTCTTATCCAAGAAAAGCTTCTACTGAAGGAAACAGTATGCTTGTTTGAATGATGAGTGCATCATCATGCCTTTATTTGAAATCCTCTATCTGTTTAAGCATGAGACATTTAAGAAATGTAATTTCCAAACACTGGTACAATATCCTTAGAGAAACCATATGAAAGTAGGAGTGGAAGAGATCAGATGAATCAGTGTCCAGTACCCATTATTTTGTTGCAATATTTCTTTGTTATCAAATGAGTATAATAGAATAATCTATACACTCATCCGCATTCTCATTTCACAAAGCCAGATAAGACCCTTTACATATTACTTTCAAAAGAGTTGTCTAGTTACAGAATATCTGAAAGGGAAACTTTGTGGTTTTTGTAAACGTGTTTTCATTCAGCATGAGCAAGAACCACTGACAGTATTCTTCTGCAACGTATTCAGGAATATAAACAATTATTCTTATTCTGAGGAAATCCACAGAAAAAGTATATTATAGTATTTATGTGATAAAGATAGATGTTGACATTACAATATTACAAGTGAATTTAAAGAGTATGGTTTTGATTCCATGTTTATTGTTAACTGAAATATAGAGAGGAATTTGTGCAAATTCGCCTTCATATGTTACCTTTTTAACATAGAACGTGAACAATTGTAATTCCTTTCACAGTCAAACAGCAATATGTATGTTTTGGAACATTAATCTCTTTCCATAGCAGAATAATACCTAACCTTAAGAAAGACAGTAATTAGAGAATGACACCGGCTATCTAGATCTATTGACAATCTATATGACTTTTATACCACAGAAACACACATTTCAAAAGCACCAGTCATTGTGTAGTCTAGCCAGTCTATAGGTCATAAGAAATCCACCCCTCTGTTCAAAATCCCTACCAAATACAAAAGAAATTGACAATCTACACTCTTCCCACTACAATATCCTATGAAAAGAACTCAGTATCAAAGTAGGCAGCTTCATAAAATCTTAGCTCAATGTCCACTTCTGGTTACAATAGGAAAAATAGGAAAGAAACCGGCCACAAAATTCTGCTTAAAGAATAGAGAAGGTACTGTAAGGATGTTCTACTTAATAAATGGTACAGCTTTATCTTCAGTATAGGTCATTGTTCCAATAAAATATACCGTAGGACAAAGAAGGGTTTGAGAAGAGTAGTGAGAAATCATTATAAAGTCCTGGAAAAACTGTCATGTGAAAAAGAAACAGAAACACTTTGGACTGTTTGCATTAGAAAGAATAACAGGGGAACATAAGAGTACGCAAAATAATAAATGGCATATAGAAGGCACTCGAAAGCTGCTTTTCTTCTAGTCTTACAATACACAAAGAAAGAAGCATTCAAAGACACTGAAAGACAGCAAGTTCGAAATTGAAAAAGATTTTTTTCAATTTACAGCATAATTAGACTACGAGACTCAAAGCATCAGGAAATTGTTGAGGTCAGTAATTCAACAAGAACAAAAAAAGATATTGGAAGTGTATATCAACAAGAAAAATAAACAGTGCTACACAAGCAAGTGCTAATAAAAATGAAACAAAATTGGAAAGAATATTTTATTCCCAGCTGAGATTTAAAGCCAATTACAAAATGGACTAAAATCTTCAAGTAGGGGACAAGTTACACCCTGTATTCTCATTTTGGGGGTGTCCTGACCCCTCCTGTGAAGCATCTGGTGTTAGCCTGTTTCCTGAGATTTAATGCTTTCTCTCTCCAGGCATCAGATAGTCTCATCTCAGCCACCAACTGCTTTGACCAAGATATTTGAGCTTCGAGCAAAACATAACCCCTACTGCCCCTACCCAAGAGCCTGAAAATTCTTGTCACTCTTCATCATCACCACACATTTGTTCATCATCAAAACTTCCTCTGAATAACCAACAACCCCATTATGTTTCACCTCATTAGAGCATTCATTTTTCCAGGCACTTTCACACAGACTTTCTGGACTTCTGTGAAAGAGCAAACACCTGTCATGCTGCCTCTCCTGCACCTGCTGGATGTTCCTTCCATCACCTCAGACTACTTCTGATGACCTAAGGTCTGGCATTTCCATGCTCCACATCTTGCCCCTCTCTACAGTTCCCATTTTAGGAAAAACATTTTATTGGCTTTTCTTCCTTCTGCTCATCTCTCATAGATTTCTATCAAACCAATTACTTTCTCTTTGTTTTAATTAAGCAAAGTTCTAGAAGGTTCCCAAATGAACAAGAATATAGCTGCCCTTCTTCATTTCTCATCTAAACAAACAGTCAGAGGCAGGAATAGTTTTCAGACTTCATCGCAACAAAGCTTAGACGTATGCTAATTTTTTCTTGAAAGTTCTTGAAACATAATTATGTCCTAGGGAACTTACTACTACTATAATTCCCTGAATCTATGCATATGTCTAATTTCAACAACAAAACAAAACAAAAAGGAACACCTAGGTTGGAATTAGAACTCAGACCCATACTCAAGGAGCAGCCTCAGCAGAAGCCTGGGGTGAACACCTGCTAGCGTGAAGCTACAGTGAACTTAGCTCAGTGAATTAAATTTGCCCACTGGCTTGGAGGCCAGCTGGCCTGCAACAACCTGCCTACTGTATGCCAGATGTAACCTGGTTTAGCCTCCAGAATAGCTGCATGCAATCCACCCGTGAGGAACAGCTTCAGGACTGTACTACCCATCAAACGGCAGCCGGGAATGGTTTGGTGCGAGCGCTCTGTGTAAGGCACAAAATCCATGCCACAGCATGTTCTAACACCTTCCTCGCATACATTTCATCCTAGTAGTTGGAAAAGTTGCTGGATTTGAATTTGCTGATACAGTTGCAGCTGTAGATTACACAGCATCGTGACTGGGTCTGAAACAGGCGGCACAGGCCCTGCCAGTGGCAGCGGGGCAGGTACAAACCCCTAGCCCACACGCAGGTGGGCAAACGGCCTAAGGGGAGCCTAAGGATCATGCCTCAACGTACTGTCAAAAACTGAGCTGACATTCTGCCGTGCGCCTTCCTCCCCTATCTGGGCAGTTTCAGAAGACGCTAATGTGGCAAGTCTGGATACCATAGATCATCTGTGTTGTGAAGGCAGAAAGCAGAGAACTCTGTAATGGAAAGAGCCTGCATAAATTATTAAATGTGCTTGATTAATAAGCTTTATTTTCTAAGAGTGCAAGGCATTTATATATGGCTGACAATGTTAATGATCCTCAAAATATAAAACCACATCCAATTCAAACCTTTAATCTGAATTCTTTCATGTTTCAAACTCGATTTTTTCTGATGAGGCTTTCACTCATTTCAGTCATTTGAGCGGCAGCCTCATGCCTCAACGTATACCGTTACTAACGCCTCAGTTTCATATTTTTCAACAAGGGATCTCTATCTGATAATCACAATAACGTATATTGACTGTATCTCTCAATTTTGTTCAGAAAAGAATCTGGATTGCCTAGATGAAGGATGTGGAAAATCTCTGCATTTCACATCTTTTGGGTCTTTCCATGCATTTTGACTTGTTCTGTAGAATTTAAGACTGTATTTTAAGGGTGTTTTTATGGGTAAGAACATAATTCCACTCCATGTACATGAAGGCATTTATTAACAGAACAGGAGCTACCTGTCCAGTATTTTCATCTGCCATACTGAAGAGCGATTAGTGAGGCTGATAATGTAAATGGTTTAGCAATAGATGATGGTTGAAGAATAACAGTAGACCCCTCTGCCTTTTCCAATAAAAGCTGGGAAGATCTCTCAAGATTGCCCTTCTAGAAGTCCACTGTAAAAAAAAAAAAAAAAGGGGGAATTATAATCCACCCTATGGCCACGTGCTTGTTTCTGATGGATGACAAGGCCTTCTATTTACATAGCTTTCAGTCAAAAGGAATCTAAAGAAAAAATGATTTATCGCTCTTACGAACGAGCATCACACACACAGCACACCCTAGTCTGGCTAGGCCTGAGTTGTATGGTGGAATTTAGATTAGATGTATGGTCAAGAATTTAGGAGTTCTATCTTACTTTCTGGACTAGCCACTTTCCCAGTGTAGAAAGACTCTAAGGAGACTTGTCTCCTTGCCTCATATTAGCTTTTGGGAACAGCTCCCTCCTTCTCGCTGCATACTGTCTATATACACATTTGAAAACCAGACTGTTATGCACAGATTAACACCATGACAAGCTGTAATCTGGACAGGACTTGAGAATAAACTTCATACCACGCAGATAAGTCCTATAACTTACATTGCACATACCTAAAGGTAGCAGGCAATGCTAATATGGTCTTTTTATCCGTTGCAAATAATACGTAGACATTAAATGCCTGAATTCAATGCACAAGACAAAATCAGAATCAGGCAGTTAGTGGAATGCTGCCTCTCAAAATATCTGAGGAATATCTGAATAATATATTGTTTCTTGATTGTCACCATGAAAATCTCCCAAGATTTGTATCCAATGTAGATTTTCCTATCCAAATTTTGGTTACTTTATGAACCCAGAAATGGGACCCTTTAGTTGGAACACATTGTTTCCATTTTTGCCACAGGGGAATCAGAAACTTTTCAGAAAATCATTACCAATTAATACAAGTTTTGCAATAAATCTACAATATGCAGTCAGTGAAACTGCTAATGATCTCTTTTATAATTTACATATTAATTATTTACATAGGCAAAATGTCAAGGGAGCTCAGAAATATCGATGGGATGTTGGTTGATGTGAATGACAGAATATCAGCTTTGGGAATGTATCTTGACTGCAAAATCAATCACCTAGCTTAATTGATTTAGCAGAAGAATATTAGATATGAAAGAAATCCAAGATAAAATAACCTGGCACAACAGAACTATAATGTGATTTTTAGAAATTGTAATGGTTTTAGACGAAGATACGTATCTTGCAATGAGGTCGTTTTAACTTACTGTTTTATGCTGGAACTTTGACAGACTACCTACTTGATTTGCAATGCGTTCAGAACTGAATTGCTGGACTTCATGAAGTGGAGGAGTCTGAATAAAAGGAGCTTTGCGAAGTGAGCTACAGTGATGTCATGTAAAAGAATTATATTAAATTCATCGTTATGTATTTCTTCCTGATTATGGATACTTTCTCTACTGTTGTTAATTGCCGATATCCTTAGAGACCTTCTGAACAAGCACATATTGTATCTGATTTATTATCACATCTTAAAACAGGTTCTCTGAAAAAGAGTGAATTTCATCCTCCCCAAAAGACTTAACTTTTCACATAAACTAGTTTTATCTGAAATCGTTTTACATTTTTCATTTCTAGTTTTGCCACAGTGGAAATAGATCACCTCATGGGACAATTCGACTCTATTCTGAAGATGGCATAAATGCACTTTGCTTATTACGAGGATCACATTAGCTAACTGCTACATACCTGAATACTTTTAAAAGGATGTTGGGTACACAATTACGATGAATCCCTCCATAATGGACTACTACATGTGTTTTCATGAATAAAGTAACAGAGGTAATATTTTCTGGACAGTACGTATTATGCATCCATCTTGCTTGATGGAAATTTGTGCTGCTATTGGCAGTAGACGTCATACCTTCTCTGAGCCAATTATCTGGCATACGCAAATGAAAACATTTCGAAGAGAAACATTCATTTTCTTGCTTACCTAACAGAGGTCATTTGTTTGGCAGAATGGAAGTAGTGTTGTATGTCACATGTTGAGTACGTGTTTGGTCTTATGATGAAGTGTGCGTGAGAATGTTAGGCCACAGGACCATGCTTTTCTGCAAGCGCCTTCATATGACTGGACAAGAATGGCACATGTAAGCAGTCTGATTCTACCCCTACTAACAGCAGTCATGGGGGTGGAGGTAGAGCTTCATTTCTTGCCACTTTCCCCCATGACTTTTGCTTCATTTATCAAATGGCAGTCTCATGTAAAACGCATGCAAATGCCAAGAAACAGGGTCTGGAACCATAGGGTACTGCGCTCACAATTTTGTGTAGTGCAACTTCTAAGCTGGTGTCACTCCTGAGTTACAGCTAAATACAATCTTGCCTGCTCTCCTGTTCCCATGACTCTTCAAACGCTTGGCTACATGGTGTAAAAGCAAGCAATGATTATCCTCTGCCATCATGGTTAATAGCTAATATCATCCTATATTCCCAGTGGAAAAGGCAGACACATAATGTAACTTAATCAAGTTAGTGGGACTAAGTAACTTCAGACATATAACTTCATACCATCTGTACATGCCTATGTCTACAATCAACTGAGGGTATGGCCAACATTGATGGAATTGAATATTCCTCTTCAGGTCTCTGGAGATGCTGTCTTCTTCCATTGAGTATAGAAGGGATAAAATAAACATAAGTAGTTATTCGATTTGGACTGTATTCACTCCTTGAAGTATCTAAATGAGGTACATAATTGAGGTAGACTGGAGTCAATGCTTATTCACTCTGATTTTGATGAGGGGATTTATCTTTTACATGCAGATGGAAATACTGGACTGGAGTCTCAAATGTTTCTTTGAGTTTTAACCTTCTAACTGCATAACAGTTGGCTTCTAAATCATCAGTAACGTAAGATTTGAAGAACCATGCTGTGCTTTAATCCACAAAGTAAAACAGAAATTTAGCATTTAAGTGTCTCCTTAGGCAAGCACTTGTTCTGAGTATTACATACAAAAAAAAACAGAGCTTCTATTTAAGTTACCAACTGATAATGGAGATTGTGTTCTTAGGTGAAAAAATGGTCTGATCAGACAACTTGCTGACAAAAATGCATAACTCTTACTAATTGGTTTTGAATGTACAGGACTTCTGATGACATTGACTAAGAGAACATGGACCTGTAATTTCCTATATAATCGTAACAAAAGGCAACAGCTATTTACTTTTTATAATTTTTGATTCGTCAAGCGTAGATCTTACTATAACGTCCTTTAAGAAATACTACTGATAGGTTAGTTTTTTTTTTTTTTGAATATTGCTACTTTCCAGTTTTATATCTCCACACTCTTAAGATGTAACTGATACCATCCTGATATTCACAATTTAAAACCAGGAGAAACTCTTCAAAGAAATTATAATGAAAAGAAAGAGTTCCAGATATTATATTTAAAGCATGGTTTAAAAGTATACTCCTTTTGAGTCTGGAACGTCTACCCTTGGATTTTCTATGGAGTCAAGCAACATGATTCGAAACATTTCTTCTTAATTTTTAAATACATAGGTAAAGAAAGATCTAGAAGACATATTTATACATAGATTTTTTTTCAGTGATCTCTTCCACTTTTTGCTATCATTAACCAAAACGAAACCTTGAACAATTCCAAGAGAAAAAGAGATCTCTACTATTTCAGATACTGTTTTAAATTAAATTAAATTAAGCATGGTAACCATTCCTTATAGTGTTTTAGAATATGCATAGCAAATTATACACTGTTCTTTTCTTTCCTGCCAATGCGTTAGCCAGTAAGCTGGAAGAAAGGTCATTTTCTGAAGGATAGTATTCAGCAGCACTAGTCTGGTCACAAAATGAAGGCCAAAGACTGATATACTTCAGAAAATCAGAGCCAGTGCTAAACTTCTATATTACTTGCTTACAAAAAGGCTTCTGTCCATAAATGCAGTAAAAGTTATCATGTGGAACTTACTGTGCTGGCAGTGAATCCCAGTAAATCCCTCTGGACATTTGCAAACATATCCTATGAAAGTGTCACCTCGATAAGCTTCACTAATTTCACACATCCCACCATTATGACATGGATTAGGAAGGCAGGGTCCTGAGAGAGAGAGAAAAAAGTATATATACATTTAGAATAGTAACAATAATAATTTCACTTATTTGTATGCTTGCATTAAAGAAATTAAATCCCATATGTAGACCATTATATTCCCCAAATGACTAGAACATACCCTTTACTTTTTCAGATAACTTGCCAGCACAGATTTTTATGAACAAGAAAAAATATGAAGCATGTCACTACTCATTAATCACAACATAATTTTTTAATGTAAGAGAAGACAGGAGACAGAGAAGCTAAATCTTGCTCTCCTATTAAAGATAACAGGCGTTCTAACTTTTATATCACTGAAGCAATATATATTAATCAAATGTGCCTATCATGTAGGAAATGACACCTACAATATCCCTGAGTAATCACTACATGGCAAGTTAGTAGTTGGAAAAGATCTTTGCTATGGCTTTGTATGACTCGCTGCATGTGTGATCATCTGGGTGAGCAGTTAGGTTATTAACCAATTATTCTTTTCCACTGAGTGCCTTTTTAGCATATCCACCTCAGGTTGCTTTCAAAAAGTTCCTCTGGCTAAATTAAATTATTTTTTGCAGCTGACCACACTCTATGAAATCTAAAATTTGAGCAGCAATTTTCTGTTTGCTGTTGTTTAAAGTCTGTTAGAGCGCTCTAGTAGTGATCTGCATTTTGTAAATGTAATGCATGTTAGATTTGTAAAGATTATATATATCTCCAGGTAATAGCATATCTTCAGCTGGGATTTAAAGTTTATTCTTTTAATGACATGTGTTAAAAGCTTTTGCCATCTTACTACCTTACTATTCTCATCTGTAACAAACATCCTACCAGAATAAAACGTTTTAGCATTTTGACAAATATTTTTTCAAATCACACTTTAAAGAACTGGTAATCATTGATTTGAAAGCTTCAGAAACAAGTTTGCGAGTTAAAAGGTCTGTGAATTTGAAATAAAGTATGTTATCTGCAGTCTTTGCTACGTATACACAAAGATGTTAATCTTCATTCATTGAAATGCAATGTCATAAGTATTCATCCAATTAAAATCACATTTTTCAAGAAACTCTAGAAAAGAGTTTCTTTCTACAGCATAATTTACTGACAAGCAGCACTGGGAATTGAATGATTTAAACTTAAAAGAGCTGTAAGTTTAATGTTTCTGCGAGTCTGCCTATTAGTTTATGTTTTCAATTACAGATACAAGGTTTGACAGATGTTCATAGCAACAGCATTCTTTCAGAACGTCACATTAGTGACAACTGCACTCTCTGAGAAAATATTAATTTACAAAAGATATGAATTAACAGGATGACAAGGGACGTCAGAATGCATTCGACAATTATAATTGCCCAGATAGTTACAGCAGTTTAAGAAACTATCCAGGTACACATTTCTATTAAAACTTAATGTCATTAGCCTTATACAGGTCACAATCCTGACAAAGTTACGCTTGTGCTCGCTGTTAAACATGAGACACGTCCCACTGAACTGAATAAATAAAACATATGAATTTTCTGCAACTTATTCTAAATGTATGTAAGTACTAAAAAAAATGCAAAAATCATGATGATGAAAGGGAAGAAAGACCAGCCACTTATGGCCTTTGTTGCCTTCATTTTCCACTACACTTTTAATGTAAGGGCACGTTGTATGCTTTTTTCCAGACAACATATATCACTCCAACAAGTCAATGAAGATTCACAGTTTCAGTCTCACAGGTTCTGTTCATGTTGTTTCTCCTCCATAATATTTTGAGAAAAAACATGCTTAATAATTTGCCCTTTTTATTTTCTTCAATTTTCTAATACAGTGCTGCAATTTGGGGAGTACCTACAGGTGGCCCCATATGGTAATTATATCAGTCCAAACAGATCCCTAATCTTCCAAGAACGACACATCTTTTAACAATTACTTTCTCATTTTGTTTACTGCTTTCTCCATATGGCTTGTTGAGCACATGCTTAGCATACTTTCATCGATTTTCTTTAGGTTTTGCATTTTCTCAGATCAGTTTAAAGCACTGAGTCTTACAGGTCATTTGAGGAACACAATAATAAATATACTGGTGCATGCCAGTATTTCTAACTAATCTTAGTCTTCTATGATGCTTTCCTTCTGAAAAAAATCACCAACAATATGAATACTGTTTTGACTGATTGTCAATTAAGTGCACTGAAACCAGTAAACAATAATCATCTAATTTTCAACAGTTAACATTCATTTTTTAAATAGGACACTGGACAGACCTATCTGCATTCTAAAAGAATGCATGACTGAAACTTAAAAAAACCCTGTAATTTCATACCTCTTTTCTCCTAACTCAATTCTCCGGAGGACCATACCCCACGATTCCAGTTCTTTACGACATTTAGACTGCACGAACCTCCAAGCATACATTTTTTCTTACTTGAGTCTGAGTGATGATGATCCCTGATATGATGTTATACAGGTTTAAGTATCTTGAAGAATCTGGGACCTAACCTTGTAATCATTCTATTTTAAACATCAACATTACAAAAATGATATGCATGGACACTACTGTCAGATGATGAGAGGACCTAAGTCACATCCATAAGGCTCTTCAGGCTTATTTTGAATTGTATTGAATGCTAGGTAATTCGTTCCGTGACAGTCTGATTAATATTCTCTGTTACTCAAATCTAGATAGGCAAGCCTGAAAACGTCCTTCTTTATCAAAAAAAAACACAACAAAAAAACTTGTCACCTAATTTTTTTTAAAAAAGTAGGCTTCAGGGATTTGTTTGTTTAAATCAATAGCACTCTAATACTTTTGCAGGTAATCTTTAAGTAGCTTCAAACACAAAGAGAACAACAACATTTGATCAATATTAATGAGCAGTTGAATTCAATGGTATGCTTTTCAGGCACTTGTATCCATGTTCATATGAAGTAATGTCAACAAGATTAATTATGCACTGAAAGAAATAGATCTATTCAGTTTGCTGCTCTTTTGAGTCCTTCTTTATACAGCTCCAGTGGTAAGAGCCAACAATAATCGTACAAGTATTCTCCAAAATACAGAATATCGTTATTCAATTGAAATCCCGTGCTGTTTTTGAAAAAAACTGAAAGTTAACTATAAGCATAGCAGGTGTCAAATTTTTTAGATGCTCTGACTAAAATATCTGAGAATTTTATTGATAAAGGAATCAAATAAATGCATCCTTAGTGGAACTACAAAGGAGCTCAAGACAGAATTGTGTTATCTGTTTTCTTCTTTGACAACTACAGCCAATTAAAACTTCATAAAAACAAAGTCTTGTATAATCCAATACGGACGTGATAAATATGTACTTGAGAGAAAGAGACCATTAGTTTGTATTTAACATACAAAGCAGGGAAAGCATTATTTCATCAACAAAAAAACAAATTCTGACGGTGATTATTTTTACAAAGAGTGAATTAGCTTATGTAGGAAAATTCTGATTCATTCTGTTCTGCTGGGTACTCAATTTTTTTGGAAATAATACAAATTAGCGTTTGACTGTCTATCTACGTTTTGCTCCTGACTGTTTGGAGGAAACGTTTTTTCCCAAAATACTCTTACTTCAGGCTGTTTTTTGTGTTTTCTTCCTATTTTTTTTGGTGGTGGTAGGGAAGCCTAGAGGCATCACCATTTTTAAAGCACATTTAAAAATGGGGAAACATCAATTAAGTAAAATTCCAGTTGTTCTCAGTTCAATCATTTAGCAAGTGAACTACTTCTGCTACAGACTGCATCTACATTAGCAAGCAATGCAGTGCGATGGGAAGGGATCTCTAAAATAGCTTGGCTGGAGCTAAGGACCCAACGTCCATGCAGTGCACGTCTCTCTTGAGAGGGAGGAGGGGGAGCTACTTTGGCCTAATTCTAGTCTGGTCCAATGGCCTGAACACTCTGAGTGGCTGGGGGAAAAGCAGACGCATACCTGGAAGCCTTCTGATTTAGCCACATCTTGAAGAAACCCAGTTTGTGCACCACGCGACGTGACCAAAGCATAGTAAGTGAAGACTACCAAGAGATTTACTGCCAAGTGCATTCTTGATTTAATCTAAAGTGTTGTGTTAGACAAATGCAATATCTGTATGTGGAACAGAAACAATTAGGCTTCATGTTAGGTGCTGAAAAAAATAAAGAGGGTGAATCTGTAGGTATCGGCTCCTGTTCAGTGTTACGTGGTATTTAGAAGCGTTATTCAAATTCCGATACACACAGAGGGGAAAAGTGCATTAAAATTCTCCAAAAAAGGTTTAATGTCTTCTCAAGTAAGTATCTGCACATTTAAGAAATAACATTCTAATCACTGTCCCCTCTAAGGGTCTAGGAGGCATTAAGCAATGCAAAAAGCAATGAGACAAAACAAAAAACCCCAAACAATAACTCCCCCCCTTCCCCGACACCCACATACCCCTACAAGGTTCCTAGTGCACTGCTGATGAAGCAGCGTAGCCCTCCCATTCCTCACCCAGCTGATGCCAGAAAGAGTCATTTGGCGCTCTAATACAAACCTCACCAGGCAGAACCACAGTGCCTGTCTGAAAGGATAGGCCGTGCAGATGTTAAGGGCATAATACGCTAGATTTCATAAACTGCATTGGGTGGCATTATCAAGAAGTCTACAGAAGCTTTACCAGATCTTTTTACTGGTTCTAGTAAATCTGTACCTTGGGCTTAAAAATATGACAAAAGCCAGTTTTGAAGTACAATAGTAGAGTTGTATACCTTTAGCTTACCAAACCTAGGAAACCAGAAAGTAGTTGAAGTAGCAGCCATAACACGAAGATTAAAGGCAGTGTAAAACAAATACTAAAAACTGTTAATATAATAACTATCTATCCATCTCTTTATATAGAAATTATGTAACTTTAATGAAAAATGCTAAATTAGAAATTGACCTTGATATGCATCAAGATGAAAATACCCTTAGCTACAAAGCTAATTGCTTCTTTTTTTTTTTGTGGAATATTACTGAAGTAGGACTAATAGACAATGTTAATCTGATGAT